CCCTAATGCCGAACATTTATGATGGTTAAACCGTGGACCCATCTATCCAGAGATGACTGGATAAATACAATATGGTTCTTGTACATAATGAAATGCTCCTCAGCTGTAAAGAGAGATAACATTTTCCCATTTAAAACAAACCAGAAGAAACCTGAGAGGATTATGTGAAGTAGAAAAAGTCAATCACTCATGGTACAATTTAAGGACATAAAACTGGTGAATGAACGAAACAAAACAAAATGACAAGACAGGGGACACTGACAACAGAACTTAGGTTAACTGTGGAGAAGGTAGTGGGAGAAGGAGTCAAAGTGGGGGGAGATCATGGACAGTTGAAAAACTTGGTGCTATAATACAACCATACATGAAACTATAAGAGACATGAACAATAACAGTACGTGCTTTTAAAACAAACATCACCTAAAACATGTTATGAAAGAACCGGCCCACCTCCTACAGCTACTGTCAAATTGACTCACCCACCAGCCCTGATATTCAGGTTCACAACCTAAATCTTCAAAGAAGTCCAAGCCAAGCAGCTGAAATTCATGGGCACGTTGTGGGGCAGACCAGTCCCTACCAGGTGGTGCTCTGGCAGTCACACCCACATACCACTTTTGCTACCACACCAACAGCCTATATGGCCCAACTCCACGACTTTACTAAGAATCTCTGCACACTCATCCCAGTCCTACAGTTTCTGGACTGTGTGGCAGCCTTGTGTGACACGCCCCAAATTCCACAGTACTAAAATTCCAGTAGGAGCACTCCAAATTAGACCCGAAAAAGTAATGTAGAAACCAACTAAACTCAACAACAAGAACAAGAAACCAGAGGCTCAACTGGCAACAAACGTTCAGTAAATCCTCAGGCTAAGACTCAACAACTCTGTGTTGAGAAATAACAATTTTCACATTATTTTCTTTTATTGAAGAATTTTTAATAATTCCTTTAGCCATTGTAATAAGCAATATAAAAGAAATTAATTGGTGTTGGACTATTGAATGTAATAAATTACTGTGAACAACTTTATTAAAGTAAAATTAAGTTAAAAAAAATTGTATGCCTGCAGCAACAAATAAGAAAACCACTGGCAGGCTCCACAGCTCCCGGAGAATGCTCCAGGTCCCAAACAGAGCCGAGATCACGGGGAAGTCCCAGATGGGGTAGGTGCTGCATCCCGCCTTCTCCAGATGGAACCCCGGTGACCATGAGCCTCTACAAGCATTGCTCGGGCATGCGGGAACCAGGACATTTACTCCAAATGTCTGCGCGACATCTCCTTAATACAAAGTGGTCAATGGAAAGTAAATCATCCAACGTTTCTCCCTGAAAATCAGCTTAACTCTTTTGCAAACCACAACACCCAAAAGGAGAGAGAGAATAGAGGGGAATGCCCTGCCAAAGAGGCAGGGTGGGATGGGGGGATGGAGGATGGGAGGGATACTGGGATCCGTGGTGGTGGGAAATGGTCACTAGTGGAGGGATGGGTATTCAAAATTAATTAATTAATTAATTTTAAAAATTGTGTGCCTGCTATAAGGGCAGACTTGAGGAGATGGTTGAGAAAATGGCAACAGTGGTGGAGGGAAGGTCATTCAGGTGGTGGAGTTTATGTTGGAACATCAAAAGCCCATAACAACTGCATTATGAACAACTTTGTAAACCAGGGTATTTAAATAAAGTTTAAAAAAAAAAAAGCCAGGCTGCCCACCACATGGAAGCTGAGGTTTCCCCAGTCATGATTTGCATACAAGAAGTTGTAATTTGCATATAGGAAGCTGTGGTCTACACACAGGAAGTTGTGATTTGCATATAGGAAGCTGTGATCTGCACACCAGAAGTTATGATTTGCATACAAGAAGTTGCGAGTTACAACCATGAAGTCAAACAGAGCGCACAAGGAAAGTTGTGGTTTGCATAAAAGAGGCATATGGGGGGCCGGTGGGTGGGGGGGAATCCCTGATCCTTCTCCAAGACCTTCACTGTCCCCTCAAGGACCCTAGACCATGGGGTAATTTAGTGCTCCCATAAAGGTGTCCTATTCTGCCTGGATCTAACTGTTCTCTACCTGTGTCTTAAGCCGAGAGGCCCTGCAGCTCCCATCAATGTGGGTCTCTCTTCGAAGTGACAGGGTCACATTCCCAGGAGGGCCAAGTCATGGGCAACAGGCTTCACTGGCCACCCTCCCCACTACTGCATCTCCCTTCTTTTGCTGGCCCAGGATGCTTTTCTTCTCAAGATGCCAGATCCTGGGGGAAGGGAGCAAATGGGTTGGGAGTCTGGCACACTCCTCGTGCAGCTTAGAAGCAATTCCACTCCTCAGGGCTTCAGCCTCCCAGGCAATCAAATCAGAGCAGACTCCCAGGGTCAAGGGCTTGGCTGCTGATTACAGCCTCAAAGGCAGCCAAGCATGTCTTCCTCTCAGGAAACCCCCACCCCTAGTACCTCACAATGAGTGGAGGCTCAGAAAATTGCCCTGAGTTAAACTGACAGGTCGCCACAAAAGCCCTGGCACCACTTCACCAACCCCTAATCCTGCCCATGTGCTGCAGATTCTCTGGTTTTCAGCATACTCAGCTAGAGGACCCCCACCCTGCAAAGTGGTTCTCTAGAGCACCGCCCACCCCTCGCTTGAGTCTTCCCTGAAAATTTCAACTTCCTGTGTGTTCACTGTGTCTTCCAGCCAATGTAAGTCAGGAAAAGGCAGGAGTAGGGCTACTCTTGGTCCCCACTGCCCACTGCTTGTTGCACCATCCCTTCCTGGGGCACCCAAGATGCTGATTGAAGCTCCCCTTGGATTCCCGCCTCTGGATTGATTCTGTAGACCCTGATAATCCTGTTTGCTCTGTGTTCATCACAGAAAGATCAATATACTCATCTCCAAAAGCCAGGCCTTGGGGTCTTATCAGTTCCCAGAACCCCAGGGGTCAGGGGCCACTCAGTAGTCAGATTTCTGGCCACAGGCAGGAGGACAATTCACCTGGGGACACTCTGGAAGCAAAGATCACCCAGAAAACATCAAAAGATGCTCAGTTCTATTTGAAATTCTGCTCCAGCTCCTGACATAGCCTTTTGCATTCTGTCATTCCACTGTGCTGGCAAGGGATTTGCCCCGAGAAAAGAGGGATGTCAGATGCCAAGAAAAGATCATCCCGATGTGAGAATATGAAAATCCCCCAGCAGCCTTTCAGTCAGGGAGGGACAGGCTCTCCCAGCCCAAATCCAAAAGGAAGAACTGCTCTCTGGATGCAGGTCAGCTAGCTCAGGAGAAGGCAGAGGATTTCGCTTCATCTAACTGGCAGAGATATCAAACTTGAAGAGCTGTGGAAAGGCAAGACCAGCTGCAGGGGACTCTACAGTCAGGCCCCTTTGGCTGTGTGAACAGGGCCAAGTGACTGACCCTCTCTGAGCATCCTGAGAAATGGAGGTGCCAGTATGGACTTGAGGGCAAGCAGACCCTTTGCAGAGAGTAAACCCAAGCAGGTTGGTGGTGCCATAGGTCCAAAAGGAGCAGTTTGGGCCAGGGCAGACAGGCTGGGTCCCCCCAGTGGCTTGATGGAGGAGGTCAGTGCCTGCTTCCCAGTCACTGAACAAGGACACCATTCACAGACCTGCACTCCCTCCATGGTGTGGACCGTGTCCACCCCCTCATGCCAGCAGGGGCACAGAGTAGAGCAGCTACTCACTTTGGGAGCAACTACCCAGGGAATCGGAAGTTGTTTCAGTAGACCAGACGGAGAGCGGTCAGCAGAGAATTATTCAAGCAAGAATAAGGGGAAGGAAATACAGTTTGATGAGAAGGATTAGCAGGCTGGGAAGAGGGGAAGGGGCTAGAGCAAGTGCAGGCAGGGCAGGGCTCAGGGCCCCAAGGCTTCTGGAGCATCCCAAAGTGTAACTCTGATACCCCCAGCACTGCTGTGGAGGCTCAAAGCTCGAGCACGCACACACATGCACACGCGTGCGCGCGCACACACACACACAAACATGCATACACACAAGCGAAATGAATTAGACTTTGAGACCCACCCCTTATGTCATCCCCTAGCCTTCTGGAAGCAGCAGGAGCAGAACCAACAGTTCAGGGGGTTTGGGGAACCCCCAGGTCAGGAAGTAAAAAATCTGATTCTGGAAGCTTCTTTTTATCTGGGAGGGTGAGTCAAACGTAGCAATGTTCAGTGTCACTCCTGGCAGTGCTTGGGGGACCATTTGAGATGCGGGGGATCAAACCCAGGTCAGCAGTGTGCCAGGCAAGCTCCCTTCCTGCTGTGCTATCTCTCCGTTTCCTCTGGAAGCTTCTTAAACAGAGAACCGCTAGATTCCTTTCTCTGTGTCTGTGGTACTCAGGAGCATTTTAACACTTCTAGAAACTGGCCCTGCTGGATGCCTGCACTGCGGACCTCTGCTGTCTATCAGACCAGCTCAGATGATGGATAAGTCCCTATTTCCGCGACCTCAGGAGAAGGATAGTTGGAATAAGACCACTCTCGGCCCTTCTTTGTCACATATCCAACCTGTGCGTCCCTTGGGTCTACTCTGCTCGAACTGCCAGCACCGGCTGACTCCCACACAGCTCCCTTGGGCACACAACTATCCCCCAGAACCCAGTAGAATGTGGCAGGGTCCAAGCAGCAGGTGCCAGTCCTGCAGCCTGAGAACAAGAAGTTTCTTGTGCCATTTGAGGGGCAAAGGGTTGCATGGACTGGCACATTTCTCTCTCTCTCTCTCTCTCTCTCTCTCTCTCTTTTTTTTTTTTTTTTGCTTTCTGCCTATGCTCAGGGGTTACTCCTGGCTCTTTACTCAGGAATAACAACTGGTGTACTCGGGGATGCATATGGGATGCTGGGAATCGAATCCAGATCAGCTGCATGCAAGGCAAATACCTCCTTCCCGGGTCTCCCTCCCTCGCCCCTCCTGCATCCTGCCCATTGCCAGCATTTCTTAATGGTTAAACTCTGGCAGGAAGAAATCCACTTTCCCCTTCAGGCCCAGGCGCTTACCTGTTGTAGAGAAGAATGTCTGGCTTCCATATCTGGCCATCTGGAAACCGGACGTTCTTCACGCCCGGGTACTCCGACATGTTCCACTGTAAGTAGTGATCTGTCCAGGACTGACACACACAGACAATGCCATTAGTGGCATTAACGGCTCTGCAAACCAGTCTCTTTCCCAGAGGCTACTTGTGATTCCAGAGCCAGCAAGAGGCTCAGTATTCATTTCCAAAATGGACTTGCTCTCTGCCTCCCAGGAGGAGGTGGGAACCAAAGAAACTCTTCTGGAATGCTTTGGAAGGGCATAAAAATCACGCCTCCGGGCCAATGGTCACCAGGACCACATAGTGACAGAAGCATTATGGAGAAGCCAGTCTGCTGGCTGCCGGCTATCTCCGCCTACACCAGATGGCCACCCGCTGGCCCAGCACAGTGCATTGCTCCCCAAGTTGTTCAGTGGAGAAAGGTTCGGAACAGCTGCACACCGCTTTCCAAGGGGATGGCACCTCACAGACAGCCACAGGGCACCTGTTTGGAGCCAAGATTTTTTTGGAAAGGGTGCACTTCTGAAACCCCAACAATCAAAACTCAGAAAAGGGAGTGAAATGCTGAGCCAGGTGCAGTCACAGAAGGCATTCAGAAAGCACAGGCATTTCCGGGGGGCTGGACCCCAGTTTGGTTCCAAAAGAGGAACCATGCTTGGGGTCCACCCTCTCAGCCAACTTGGGGTGCATGGGCCTCAAGAGTTGTCCTGACACATCATGCCAGCAAGTGAGACACAGAAGCCCCCATGAGTGAGCTCCTACCAGGTCCCAGCCCTGTCCTCAGGGGCCACCTGTGGGTATGCATGGGTCAAACTTTCTCAGTTTAGACCAGCCAAGTTCTGAGTTGGTTGAAGGGTTAGCGGCAGGAGCCTCCTTAGGGCAGTGTCCATCAGAGACGATCTGACTGGTCTTTTGTTTGTTTGTAGGCCATACCCGGTGATGCTCAGGGCTTATTCCTGGCTCTGATCTCAGGAAGCACTCCTGATGGTGCTCTAGGGACCATATGGATGCCAGGGATCGAACCAGGGTCAGTCATGTGCAAAGCAAATTACCCTTCCTGCTGTCCTATTTCTTTTAAGGCCAAGAAATGTCCACTTGGGGCTGGAGCAATAGTACAGCAGGTAGGGCGTTTGCCTTGCATGAGACCGACCCAGGTTCAATCCTCGGCATCCCATATGGTTTCCCAGCACTGCCAGGAGTAATTCCTGAGTGCAGAACCAGAAGTAACCCTGCACATTGCTGGGTATGACCCAAAAAGCTAAAAATAAATAAAGAAATAAAGAAAAATTAAAAATGCCCAATAATTAGGGCACATGACTAAAGCTACTGAATTAGGTACTCTCCAAAGATCCTTAAAAAATAATAATAATAATAATAATAAGCCCAAAAAAACAAAAACAGAGCATCAGTGTGGTTTAAATTAGCAGAACAGAGCAAAGCTTTAAATTAATTTTGGTTTGGGGGTCACTCCTGGTGGTGCTCAGGGAAGACTCCTAACTCTGCACTAAGGAATCACTCCTGGTGGTGCTCGTGGACCATATGGAATTTCAGGGATCAAACCCAGGTCAGCTGCACACAAGGCAAGTGTCCTTCCTGCTAAACTATCGCTTTGGCCCCTAAGATACATCCTTGAGTCGCATGAGTGTCCCAGGAATCTAAGGAGTCATGGGATCCTCTGATTCTGGACCTGCAGTGTGGGTAGCCAGACAATTACAGCTGGCTTCTAGGGGGCCAGTGTGGGGAGTCCTGAGAGTAGAGATTCTGGGGAAAATGCTGGAACGGGTCTTGTGGTCTGCAGACACCCACAAACAGGCCTTGCTAGCTTTCCCACTCAACTATTTTGAGCTCCAAGTATGAATGAGAGTGTCCTTCTCCCACTTCGCCCCTTTTGTCCTCCTCCCTGAATCATCGTGATATTTGTATGGATCGGAGGTGAAGTGATGAAGGAGGCAGATATGCCAAAAAGCAGCACTGCCAGCATCTATCTGCTCTGCTGTCTCACCTTCCATGTGGGAAATGATAGAACTCCCAGAAAGAGGCGTGGGGATGAGAGGGGAGGAGAGAGAGTGAGAGGGGGAGAAAAGGGGGAGGGAGAGGGAGAGAGAGAAGGAGAGGGATAGAGAGGGAAAGAGACAGAGAGAAAGAGCGGGGTGGGTGAAAGAGATTAACCTAAAACAGATAGGAACGCCTAAATCAGAAACAGTCTCCAAATTTCAAAGTCAGACTCTGTTTAGCTTCTGTGTTGTAAAGTCAAGGCCTTTTTTCTGGATGGCTCAGATGTCTCCCCAGAAATGGATTCTGTCCTTTCTCTTCACAGATGAAATCGGATTATGTCAGATGGGCCTCCCCAAATGATAAAACCAACCCACAGAGAAAATATACCTTCTGCTTCCTCCTGGCAATAAGAAGAGATAACTGGATCAGCAGAATTTCTCTTCCTTCAGCTTCACTAAATGAGTGGTTTTTCAACCTTTTTATGTCCACAGACCAGTGAAAATAGGAGACATATTTCATGGGCCACTAAGGCAGCAATAAAAACCATTATTTATAATAACATTTTGCCTATTGGTTTTCAAATCTAATAGTGTGAAATGAAAGCCATGTGTTAAGTGGCAATAACTTTTCCAAGAATTGGCAGGAAATTTCAGTGGACCAGCAGCTGAAAACCTCTGGTCCCAATAACCAGAAAGTTCTACCAAATGGAAGACACTCAAAGGAGGAAAATCAAAGCAAGCAGGACCAGAGACAGGGTAGAGATCAAGGCAGTACCAGTACGGGCCAATCAGGACAAGGTGGTTCCAGCATGTACCAAGCTGTGCCAGTCTGTGTCAGCATTGCTGGGTGGTATCTTTCTGTTCTGAAAGGTGCCAACTCATGCCAACAGATGCCAGTCGTGTACACCTGTGACAGGTGGGACCAGTCTGTGCCAAACTGCACCAGTCCATACTAATCTGTGCCAGGTGATGCCAACCAGTGCCAGTTTACCTTACAAAAAGTCCAGAGTTGTGTCCAAGCACCACAAGGTTTGGCCCAAACCCTCTCCGCCAAATGAAATAAGATCAATACAATTCCTAAATTTGAAAAAAAAAATAAACAAAGGACCAAAGAGCTGGTAGAGGGGTTAAGGTGCTCACTTTGCACATGACTGACCACACAGGATCCCCCAAGCCCAGCAGAAATGCTCCTTGAGCACAGATTCAGGAATAAGTCCCAAGCACCTCCACCCCCATCCTTAAGAAGGACATAGACTTAAAACTAAAGTAATAGATTTACAAATTTTAAAGAACTGTAAGGGAATGAGAACTTTCTCCACACTCTTTCCTGCCATTTGAGAACACAAGAAAAATCAAGCCTTCACCAGCATGACCTTACAAACAAAAACCTTAAAGGGAAGATCAAGTATGTGGGCTGAGATTTTTAGGACAGGAACTCGGTGCCAGGAAAGCTGGGGGAAGGAAATGGACTCACTGAGGGAAGATTTCTAGGCTCTCCTCACCCCTCCTCCCTGCTAACTCTATCCTCCCCCATGCCCTGACCAGCTTCACTATCAAGCCCTGCTTGGGGGCCAGATAGGCCCCTTCTCTGGGGCTGGCTCAGGCCAGGCTTGGTCCCCAGCCGGAGAAAACAAAACCCACACTAGTTTTGGTGACATCAGGTGACATCATGTCCATGCTATGAATGGACATGGTAGGTAGCTGGGCGGAAAGAAGTTTCTAACTGTAAGTGTTCATATGTGTAATTCCTTCTAGACCAGCAGGGAGCTGGTGTGACAGCCATGCCACCACTGACACCCACTCTCTTCCAGACAAACACACCGTACACTTTCTAAGTATTCCTGTGTCAAAGACACCAGCGTGTCCCACATGCATAAGGTCTGTGCCCCCAAGTCTCCAGTATGCCCCGGTACTGCCTTCCCTCTTCCCCTGCCACAAAGCCAGCACCTCCCCCCGAGGCTGGCCCACATCCATAACTCCAAGCCGCCTCCTGTCCTGTGTCTCGGGAACTGCCCAGCTTGGCTATTTTCCCCTTTCTGGGTTGGCACACACCCCAACATGGCTCGACTCTCAGGGCTAAAAGTGGAAATGAGGTTTCGTGCCTCACAGCCATCCGGCTCCAGGTCCTGCCCAGTTCAACGCCTCCCGCTCAGCAGGTGCTCCCAGAGAAGAGATGAATCGGTAAATGAGACAAAAAGGCTCGGAAACAAATGATGCTGCAGCTGCTTCTGCCAGAGGAAATCTTAATTAGAAATAAACTGCACTGGAAGGAATTTTAGAAGTCTCCAACGACCGGCCCCCAAGCTGCGGGTGCTTATCTATGGAAAGTTTCATCTCAACATCTGACTAACGTGTCTTGGGGACTTCAATACCCTGTGACCAAGAAAAATATTCTTTTATTTTTATTTTACCTTATTTTTTTGGTGGTGGGAAATGAATACTGGGTGTGGGAACGTTATATGACTGAAACCCCATCATGAACAACTTTGTGTATCTCATGGTGATTCAATTAAATGAATAAATTAAAATATTTCATGTGAACATGTATTTTAAAATGTTTTAAAGGGCCAACTCATATATAAGGCTGAAGATGAACCCCTTAGTTGGGCTGAGGAATGCAGATACCAGGGAGACAGGCCCTTCCCTGACCCCAACCTGGCACACAGGCTATGGTTCCCTCTGTGTAGAGTGCCAGGGATCAACCCCCATGCAGACAAATGCCCTTTAGCCCTGTTTATTTCATGTGTGTGTTTTGTTGTTTTTCTTTTTGTGGACAGGTCTTACAGGGCGCCGCTCAGAACTTACTCCAGGCTGTGTTCAGGGATCACTCTTGGGGTGCTTGAAGAACCATGTGTGGTGTCGGAAACTGAACGGGGGTCGGCCATGTGCAAAGCAAATGCCCTCACCCCTGATCCATCTCTCTGGCTCTTGCTTGTCATTTTTAAAGAAAAATGTTCATAGTATCTCTGTTCCTCAGTAGACATGGGGCCTGCCTGGTTTTATGTATTAAGGAAAACTCCCACCTCACCCTCCAAACTGCAGGGTTGGTTGGTTTGGGGATGTTGGGTCACACCCGGTGAT